TACTGGTTTATTCCCCCGAAGCCAAATGATTGGGCCAAAGAACAAAAGAGTTTACCGGTACTACCCCCTGAAATGTTTTGTGCTCGTACCTCTGATCCAGTCTTTATAGATGTCGGCCTTTGCAAACAAATTGCAGCCACTTCGGACTGCTGCGTCGGCTTTCTGGTCAGCTTCTCATGAGTGGAAGGCGCTTCTCCCCGGATGTGACCAAAGCTCTCAGAGAGCTGAGATTTATGCCCTTTTGTATTGCTTGGCCTTTTGAGGGGTGATCTTACAGTATATACCGATTGCATGAATTTCTTGGATGGATTTAACGGCTTGGTGGGTTAGTCAGTGCTGGGTCAGTTAGACAATGCTGATTTATGGGAAAAGATGGGGCAGGTCCTTGCTCAATGGCAAGGGACAATTTCACTTTGGAAAGTCAAAGCCCACGTATCTAACCATGCGCAGCAATGCCAGTACCTGACGGAAATTCCCGCGCAGATGCTTTAGCCAGTCCTGTGCCAAAGAGAACTCTGAGTTAAAATTTCTTGCTTTCGCGATTTCATTTCCCAGGCAGTTGGGCTACAAGTTCATTTGGTCACTACTCTGATGTCATGAACTGAACATTTCGCGTGCGATGATCTGGAGCGTTCCAATTCCCCCCGTACATGGACTGCGACGCCGTGCTCTTGTGTACCCCTGCGTCGCGTGCGGTGAGAAGTTTCCGCGTGCACAGGTGCGTGCTGCGTTTTTCGGAAGTGATCAAACCTGGCTCAGTGGAAACATCTTTCCTTAACATTTTAGGCAGTGCCAACCCGATCCCTGAAAATCTTAGGCAAACACTCGCTGTTCATTACATCACACTTCATAGGTTGCGCAGTCTTACCAGGGTCTTGGGGCCAGTTGGAAGATTGCATGACTTATATATTGTCTGTCACATCTGGTCGTAACAGGACCTCCCAACTTGCCGCAAGAACTCTGACTAGCTACCTTTCTGCTCCTCACTGCTTTGTCCCAGTGAGGGGGGCCAAGGCTAGAAGAAAGAGTCTCATGGATAGAACTAAGTCTAGATTTTGTTGCTACCCATGGTGGGCAGCCGGGGTGGATTCACAGTGAACTAGCCCTTGGTAAGTTAGCTAGACGTTTTCAAGTTTTCGTTGTGAGACTCTTGAAAGCAAATCATATTCCAATTCGTGCAATATCATCGCTGCATTTGTCCGAATTTGGGTTCAATCGCGTGGCTAGCGTCTATCTACATCAGAAGTTCATGTTCCCTGATAAAGTATTGGCCTTTCTGCTCCAGTGTTCCTGGTCTAATCCTGGCGAGTGGTTAGATCCTACTCAGAAGAAACATGTCGCTTTGTATTGGAAACCTTCCTTCAACGTTTTGACGTGACTGCTCAAAGTCCACAATCTCCTGCATGCTCACCTGTCCTAATTCAATGTATTGATGATAACGTCTCCAGATGTTGGATGAAGCATTCTGACACTCTGGCTGGATTGATCCCGAGTGGAACCTCATATGGCTGAAAAAAGATCACCGTCCTTTTTGTTTGGTTCTTTTCAGCTTTATCACGGCCGGATTCCTTTTTTGACCATGCTTCTAGTCCTACAATGGTGACAGCTCTCTATACCAAGCTCCACATACTTCCTCGTGCATGTCGCGTGCTCTTCGACAAGTCGACAAGTTGAACGCCCCCTTGAGCCAGCAATATCGACGACTCGCTGAGTAGGAGGCCAACTCGCATTTCCCTAGCTTTTCACTGAATTATCGGGTTTCCAGCAACTTTTTCAAAAAAAAATCTGGGAATGACTAGTTTAGACCCGGAACTTTGTCGCCAAGGCCGTCGTTAATCCTTCACCAAAGACCTTGCAGCGACCATCATTTGCCTCACGAGGACCAACATTCGAGCAGGCGGCCCCTGAAGGTCTGAAGGTTGATGCAGCATTTTTTTTTTTTTAGGTGAGCAAAGGGAAAGACCATATTTTGTATTGATATGATTGGCATCTTTAGCATCCTAAAGAATGGACATGCCTAGGCCAACCAATGTAAGATGCATGGAGCATGGGTGTTTTTCAGTCATTTAAGTATAGAATCAACACGTATTAGCCACTTTTGACCACTATCATTCATGTACCATTGTCGACCAGTATTTTTTGAATATTGACGCGAAAATTCATCACACAATTCACCCTTATTCACCATGATAAACCATTGTCAACCAGTACTCGCCAAAATTCAGCTGTAGCCAGGGCCGTGTTGGGAGCGATGACCTCCTTGGGCCCTTGGATTCGGGGCCGGTGTCCGAGGCGACGGATGGTGATGGGAAGTTGGAGTGAAAAATGTTTATTGGGATTTGGATTTATTGGGATTTTTACTGGGATTTCTTGGGATTTTGTTCTGTTTTTTTCTCGGAAAATTCTTGGAAGCAACGAGATGGAATGGGATTTGATGCTACTTTTCGTTGGAATCGAATGAAATTGATTGAGGATTTAATGGGGAACCAATGGGACATGT